TACAACCGTGACTCAGAGCATTTGGGATACTGCACAGTCTCACCTTCTAAGAGCACGGCATTTCAGTGCACAATAGCTTTTCTGGCCAACTCTGCTCACTTAGTTTGTGAACAGTCTTTGGTTTCCACAGGGATGAGTAAAGTGAACAGAACGTGGTCCCATAAAGCCCCATTATGGCCAGAAAGGTATCTTAGCAGTCTAAACCTCTTGTTCTCCATACACAGCAGCCACTGTAGCCACTGATCAGACTGAAGGTTGACTGAGCCCTCACCTCCTTGGAAAGATAAACTGAGTTTTGTGCAGTTTGCTGTATACAGACCCTATCTGCTCTGCATATACACTAAACGTCTACTTGGGTTTACATTGGTATCCCCCTCCCAACTACAGGGCAGCAAGCTGTATTTCCCACTGGACCTGCACTCTGTCCCAGAGAAAGTGGTTGGCATACAATACAGCCCAGAGCTGCAGCTCTCTCACAATGACTACTATTTAGGCACAAGAGTAGCCTCAACAGTACTATTCAATATGGCTAACAACTGCTGAATTAGGCCTCAATTTTGTGAAACTGAGAGGTCCTTTAGAATTCAAAGCTAATGCCCTTTTTCATTCCTAATTCACAATCACTGAATATCTGTGCTACAGAACAGCTGTAATTCTGAGTTATGCCAAAGACTCCCACCCATGATCCTTATAGCTCTGGCAGAGAAAATCAAATGGCACAAAAATGCCTCAAACCATTACAAAATCCAGAGCCAGATAGCAGCTGAATGAACTGCTTAAAGGACAAAACTGAATTCAAGTCAGCTCTAAATCAGCCCATGGTTCAGCTTCTTAAAGATTCAAAATGACTTGCCTGTTACACAATTTCTTAGGAAGATTTACATCAAGTATAAGAGACAAGGTGTTAACCAGCTGAGTTGCATAGCACAATGCAGCACTGATGGTGTAGGCAGGGTTATTATGCTCCATATCTAAAAGAAAGATATCACCAAAATCTAGTTTTAGTCATATGCAGGTAGGCCCATTATTGAAATCTCTAAACAGTGCTATGTGCCAGTTTCCAGAACTGCTGAAATCCAGTAATCAGTCTCAGATTTAGATCAAATCTCAGGAAATCAAATCTCAGGAAAAACTTCCTTGCTGTAAGAAGAGCAGGACAATGGAAGTTGTGGAATCTCCTTCACAGGAGGTTTTCAAGAAAAGGCTGGATAAGCATCCACATGGAATGGTTTAGGAACAGTGAATACTGCATCGGAGCAGCAGGTTGGACTAACTGATTCTTGAGGGCCCTTCCAGCCCTATATGGCTCCATATATCTGGCAAAAGTTAGAAGGAAACAGTAATACAGGGAATAACTATTACATTTACTCTACAGCGAGTTGTGTCAGGGCTGCAAATAATTTGCACTGTTTCTTTGCTAGAGTTTTGCGCTATAAATCTGATTAGTGTCTCCCCACCAAGAGAATGTGCCAGAAGCTTGACCTCTTTATGACTGACTTACGATTGTGTTGTAAAAAGGCTCACCTGCAGCTAAGATTCTGCATTGCTCACAAAAAGTCAGGCAGGCCACAAGCTTGAAGTGCCTTCTGCTGGCTATGCAGCACTAAAAAGATCTACAGAAGCTGGATCGCTCAGGAAGCCAATACTAAGTTTCTTACCTGGTCCTGGCGTGGTTTTCTTCTCTTCCACCCAATTGTAATATGCTGAATAGTCTCCATTATTAGGAAGGGTTATCCAAGGACCAGTGATGCTGATGCTGGTGTCTCCGTTTTGATCGTCACACACCCACCTTCCAGAGAGATAGGTTGTTCTCCTGGCTTCTGCAAGCTTGCTCACAGTGCTAGAGGTCATTGCATTATCACTCTCAGAAGAAACATCCGCAGGATCTCTGTAGCACCCAGAAAGACACCACGCTGTAACAAAAGGCTTTAGAGGTCTTAAAAAATACAGGCAATGTGCATGGCAGGCAAAATACCTGAAATGGTAAACTACAAGAGTCTCTGCTACAAGGGTCAGAGTTTCTTTACATCTTTTGGTCAAAAATCTCAGAGGTTGTATTGTTTTTGTTTTTAATTTGCAAGATGCTTTTGGATATCTCCAGCCTGAGTTTAAGGTAATAAAGCAATGTATATATGCCAACACAGTACATCCATCAACACCCTCCTAAGATGAGGAGAGGAACTACCTGGCCAGTTCTGCAAAGTCTGTGCTGGGAAAGGGGGTTCCCCCCAGTGGATACACAGTTTCCAGTCCAGTAGGTTACTTAAGCACCTGCTGGCCCAATTATGAAAGCCAGGGAAGTCAAGAAAGATCCAAGCTTGCCTGAGTCAATAGCCCACCAGACTAGTACAGTTAAAATGGGCCAGTTTCTGTAGCCCACAGCACACAAAGGAACAACTGCCTAGTATCATGTCCAGCCACCTGTGACCACCCAATCCAAATGACCAAGTGACCATTTACAGCTAGGTCAACCAGGACAGCCATCAGAGGAAGGCTGAATGAGGCTTGAAATCAAATTTCTAGTTTTGTAGCAAGATGTCTTAACCATTCTGCTACCATATTCCTATTTATTTCAGTATACCCACTAACTTCAATGAGACTATTCTTAGGCTTAAAGATGGGCATATGCTTAAGTATCCCCCTGAGCCAGGAGTTAGATGAGGAGATGTAGGCTGTCAGACTCTGAAAACAAAGGTGGGGCCTAGATGGATATGCACTGAAGTAAAACATAAGCTGTTTTGAAAAAGAAAGAAATTAAAAAGGCAATATAAAATTGTGTTTTAAGTAAGGGTAGAACCCACTTACTCTTTATACTCCCAACTTGCCAGCCACATTTGATTAGGACCAAAGAACACAGACCTAAAGTCCAGGTATAAATCTAGAGACCAGCCAATGGATATCAATTTGCATTAACTGTGCTGTTCTAGAAGATCTGCCTTCCATACCTCATACCCGTCTTCACTTCTTCAATGGGAAAAATGACAGAGGTCAGCTCCAGTATGTGAGACCGTCGAAGATCTGCCAAGTGCTCATGCTGGGTTTTCAGATCACAATTCTTTTTTTCCACCAAATCTCCCAGCCTGCGGTTATGCCTCTGGATCTTCTCTTTCTTCTCCTGGTGCCTCTGAGCCCTGCGATTAAGCTTCTGGTTTTCATCTTTAACTCTGAGAAGCCCCTCTGCGTCTGTGAGAGCAAGAGACATTAGCTGTAGGAAACAAGCTGTGATCTACGGATAGGTCATGGAATTATTAATGTTCAGGGCAAACAAAGCATATGGCAGCCTAAGAAAAAAACGTTTCACTGCTATTCACCACTCACTATACTAGGGTACAACACTTCAGTCTCTTTTGAATTGTACCCTGGGCAGCCATCTCTTACTCTTCCCCACACCCCCACCTTCCCTACCTTCTCAGGCAGTGTCATGGAGTGCAAAGCATTCTGGGAACAGAAGTCCTCTGGACTGGCAACGGAGTTTGCTACTGGGGGCGGGGGGAACTTTCACCCCATTTTTTTTTTTTTTTGCCACTGAAGCCAAGTCCAGAGGGTAAAAAAATGCTGGATCCAAGGACTGCTGCTGGTCTACAAAACTACAGTTCCCAGAATACCTTGCACTCTGGGAATCCCAGCTCTGGATTGCACCTGGAGCTAGGAAGCGCCAGCAGAGTGAGGCAAAGTAGCAGCAAGGTAGGCTTCAGACTAACCCAGGGGTGAGGCATTCCTTCTCTTCTTCCTGCTCCCCTTCCTTCCCACACCCATCCCCTTAGGGGGCACTGAAGGCACACCTGCTCACCCACCCCATGTTACGCTCCTAGAAGTTGGCACTGATCTTGTCTTCTGCCCACCTGGACATTGAGCGGGAATGTCAAGATTCCCTAGTTTAATTAAGTAGCCGGTATAAACATCACAACAAATGCACGTTACCACGGTGTTGGCTAAGACGGCTCCCACTGCTGTACTCAGAACTAGTTCGGAGCACATGGTTGTTTACAATGTGCCATCCACTTGGTGCCCACCTGCTTGGGCTTGCTGTACATTGTCTGCGCATGTGGAGCACGGGGACCCCAGCAAAGCAGGCCATTCCCTATGGCAGCATCAACCACCACCTCCATAGGCAACTGCACAAACTGTAACATGCAGCTGTACTGAACTGCTGCAGCTGCCTATGTTCAGCTTCGGTACCAGATACATTTGCATCCCAAAATCTCTCCTTACAAGCATCTGCTAATCTGTTGTGCAAAATCATCCAGCTCAAGAAAAGAGCTGTCACAAGCACGTCAGTGGAGACTTTTGAAGATACTCTCCATCTTTGAAAAGTGCAAGAAGATGCTGTACTCAGTTAAAGGTCTCAAAAATTCCTTTTCCTAACTTAGTTTGAACAAGAACGTCCAGTTGCCAGGCAATCAGTCACACTTCTCACAGTCTTTATCAGAAATAATATTGATCAGGTTTCTAATGTTGATCAGAATATTCACTTTCCAG